TTCTAATTAATTATAAAAGAAAAACATATACACATATACATACAGGCTGAATATAAAGTATGGAACCAAGCGGTTTTATTCTTTTTAATCATTTGCCTCCAGAAAATAATAATTAATATAAATTAAAGTAATATAAAAAATGTGATCCTATTTTCAGAACGAAATTTTGTTTTGTTTTTGAGTTATGCGATTTTTTTTGTCAAAATTGCAATTTATGTGAAAAAATTTTTTTTGAAAAAATTAAATATAAAGCAGATAGTTGTAATCCTTAGAGTATAGCTTTTATGAGAAAAATGATTTTATAGTGGGTTGCCATTTAAAAAAATATTTTTTTTTGTAGAACTCAAAAACAAAAGGAAATTTCGAAATTTTTTATTCTTGTTAAATCATCACGTTTTTATAGTACTTTATCACTCATCAATTAGTTTTTTCAAGAAATAAATAGTTTAAGCAAAAAATGTTTGGTTCCATACTTTTTATTCACCTGGTATATACATATAGATCATAGTATCATTAAATAAACATAAAAAAATGTCAAAAAATAAATGTCAAATTTTTTGACAGATTGTATTTTTTCCATGTTCCTGGTATCTTATCTTACTTGAAATTTTTCTCTAGAACGCGAGTTCTGACACACAGATATGATTTTTTTAAACATTTTTTCCATGTTCCTGGTATCTTATCCTACTTGAAATTTTTCTCAAGGACGCGAGTTCTGACACACCCTGTAGATAAAGAAATTGGAAGATTTAAACAGGGCATCATATTTTTTTGTTTTTATACAAGGTGATGAAAAAAAGGCGCCCACGATTGAGACAGGCACGTCCTTTTTTATTGAAACATTGTGACCATCATTCCAAAAATAGTCTAAATAGATTCTTTTTAAAATTTAAACAGTTTGTCTAACAGCACAAAGCGGCAAAATTGCACAAATTTCTTTTACTAAAAAACTATTTCACTTAGGTATTTTTCGTATCTAGGAAACCTTTTTGACTTTAATCGTTCAAATTTCACAGAACAAACAACATTGAAAATTGATTTTTTTTGTTGCTATCGTTTCCAATAATTGAATATTACTTGGACATTTTCTGTATCTTAGGATATTTGCAATGTTGCAACATTGATAAATTTTCTTTGGAGCCAAGAAATGGTATCCAAACATCTTCAATAACTAAGTTTATTTCAATAGACTTTTTACACATTTTTTTTTAAGAACACCGTCAACAATATCAAATTCTAGAATTTAACAATGAAATTATTTTAAAACTGTTAATTATACAGGGTGCGCCAGAACTCGCGCCCCAGAGAAAAATGCCATATAAGGTATGGTACCAGGAACATGGAAAAAATGCTAAAAAAATTTTATCTATAAAAATTTCGCAATTATGAGGGTTTAAAGTTTGCACTTTGACTCTATTTATTTCTGTTGCAAAAATAATTTTTCAAGTTTTTTTGCTATAGGCTAAAAGAGGAAACAAGGAAGCTTTATCCTAAATTGTAACTCTGTTCAATGTTATTTGTGGCTTTTATTGGCAAAGTTTTTGTACCTTTACTAAATAATTGTAAAAAACATATACAAGATCATTAGTATCATTAAATACATATAAAAAATGTCAAATGTCAAAAAATAAATGTCAAAATTTTTTGACAGATAGAATTTTTTAAACATTTTTTTCATGTTCCTGGTATCTAAACTTACTTAAAAATTTTCTCTGGGGCGCGAGTTCTGGCGCCCCCTGTATAGATTTCTCTTTTCTAAAAAGGAAAGTCTATATCTTACTGATAAGAGCACAAATCCAATTTTGGTCTTCGAATTCCTCTTTAATAAAAGATCACTTATAACGTTAACATGGGCGCCTTTTTTTCATCATACTGTATAAATGTCTAGAATTGACTATCGCATCGGAGAATAAAATTAAGATTCGTGATAAGAAAATCAGCTTTATTTGTGTACTTTTTAATTTATTGAGAATTTTGTTAATAGTAACATACCGCAGGCAAATTTGCATAAAGTCCTCAAGAAATCCTGGAGAAATGTTTCCGCGGAACGCTTGGAAGGGCTAAAAAATGAACGCCAAAGCCAGCAATAAAAATAATGTAATTGACTCGTAATCCGGGCGGTATTTCATGGCAATTTGCTTTGATTGTCGCCGTGCAGTATTCCATCACTTTTTTCATGTCTATGATGTCCGCTGACACAGAATATGTGAGCGGTTTACAAAAAGCGTTCCGGCGCCTATTGTCTTCGACCGTATAAGAATACGGCATTGGCATACTGATTCTTGCACGTTCCGAGAAACCATCGAAAAAATGGTGAAACTTACAAATCGTTTCGAGTTGACGATAAGTTATGTGGGAGGTTCGGAATTGTTGCCTTTTTGGGAATGCGCGGCCATCTGCTGACTAATTGTTCGATGTTCGACGACATCTTGGGAGTCCCGGAATGATTACTGGTTTTTATCGAGCCACTCTAGATGAGTGCTTTTAAATAACACCCTATAGAACGGTGGTGAAAATTACCGCGTCTGGTATTTTATCGGGGAAATGCGATATGATGGGAATTATTCACTGAACAGGCCTCCAACATTAGAATAATAAAAATAAAGTTAAGAGGTTTTCCATCCAAGACCAAGACAATCTCCTTTTTTTCTAGTTACTTAACAAACTTGAATTCTTTTCGTTTCAGTTTGTTACTTTGAAAATTTCGAGTATTTATGTATTTCTGTTAACTAAGTGAATGCAGTGAATGTGATTTTAATGATGCTCTACTTACACTTTTACAAATGCCTATCATAGAATAGAATGCATGTTTTATTTGCTATTTGAAACGATTCCGATCTGTCTACTTGCAACATTTAACTTCTCACAAATAACCACTTGATATTTCTTTATTTGGAATTACAAATTGCATAATAATATACATTTTTCTCCCATTAAATGTTTTATTGAACTCATCCATTGAGTCTTTTACTTTTTTAGTTATTTGAAAAGTCATAAAAACAGCATTTGGTTAGTGGAAATGAGTCGACTGGGTGTTTATTAAAAATAAGGAAAAAATGATAATTTCCTGGATTATTTTAAAAATAATTAATTCCTTGATGATTTCTAACCAAAAAGCCCTTTTGTTTCAAACATACAAGGCGGTATAGATTTTCCAAGGATATATTGAACTTTTTTAATTAATTATTATTATTATTATTTAAATTTATTTGAAACATTAAAATCACTGAAAGGGGAATGTTTATTACATACTGTTACGTTGGTATTCTTCAAATGAAATTGTATGAATAAATATTGTATTGTATTGTATATTGTAAATACACTTTGAAGGAAAAATCAAATTTGGCTCGGTACTACTTTTTACCGCGAAGTATGTGTAACTTTTATTTCAACAGTTACTGGATGGAACAATTTTATAATGGTTTATCTAGCTTTTCAAAGTTATTAAGTTAAAAATAATACTTTTTAAGACTTATAAACCCTCACAAGCTGTTAATAAGAAGGTTACCTATCAATAAGAATCATGAGTTGTTTTGGTTTACTTAATTCTTTTTAATATGAAATTCTTGTCCTTGTCATTTTTGATATAAATAATTATGCAAATTGATATATTAGTTATTTCAATAAATATCATTTAATCATTTATTTCAGTTATGCAACTTGAATTTTCTTAATTTTACATTTAACAAGTATGTACATACAAGAATTTCTATAATCTTATTTTTGAGATAATAAATATTTTATTTTCAATTGGACTTTCCAAGTCAATAGTCATGAAAACGCTATTTTTATATTTTTACAAATTTATAGATTAGGAATTGTTTTTTCTGAGATGGTTTAAACTTTTTTAAGTATTAAAATACCATAAATAAACAGAAAAATGAATCCTTTCGTCTTCGGTGTTGAAAACACTTGCTACTCGAAAAATACAATCTTTTGGTTTGTTACTGCCAATTTTAATGTTTTTTTATTTTGTACTCAATGTTAAAGAGTGCTTTTATCACCTAATTTTAGTAGTAGTTTTTTATCGTCTAGTGAAATAAAGTAATTTTTATCTAGTCTTTATTTTTTATCAACAAATTTCAGTTGATAAAGTAGAATTTTATTGTCTAGTAAAATAAAGTAATTTTTATCTACTGTTTATATTCAAGAAATTCTGGTAGGTGCGTACAAAATAAAACGAAATATTATACACGACGATAAAGATTGTTTATCTACTCGTGAAAAAAGTCCACTCGTGACTTTGTCACTCGTAAACTTAACCTTTTCACTCGTAGATAAACAATTTCTTTATCGTCTTGTATAATAAATAACTATATATTATTTAGAAAGTTCAATCTATCGTGGGAAAAAAACAAATAAACGTGGCTGCTGTAAAGAGTATAATGTATTGCCTATTTTAAGGGGTTTAGACTGATATAAGCTCATTACAAACTGAAAACTGAAAAGTACAATAGAAATAAGTTTTCAAACACATAATGCAAATCAGTAGTCAGTTATGTTCATGTCATAACAAACTATTTCTATTGTATATTTTATATAGGGTGACTGACGTAAAACTTTTGACGCAGTTTTATACTGCTTTTAATCTTATTTAAATAACTTGAACTCAAATGATTTTTTGCTAGTGACACCACATTTTTTTATTTCTTTATATAGAGAAATTATTTTTAATAGTAATCTACATTGAAGGTTGATATAAAAGCAAGAAAAGCAAGTACGCAAGAAAATTACTCTGATTCTTGCCTTCACTTTTGAAAAAATGTGGATATGTTACATACTAAAATTAGATAATAGGTAAAATAAGTTGCAGCGTTCAAATTTTTTTTTTTGATTACAATATTTACTGTTAACTTTTAATTTCCCACTGGCAAATCAAAAAATCGTTAATTGATGTCCTCAATTAAAATACTAGCCCACTTTACACTACATTACAGTAAATTAATTTAAAAAAATAGTTTTTCAATTAAAATTCCCATTAATAAACGTCGAGCACTTACCGAGTTTATGGCGGCGCTGAAACCAGCCTGACATGACCCTTGCCGATGGTATCCCCATTGATCTGCAACAGAAAAAACCCATTTCAGGCGATTAATTTATAACTACCGCGCTAATAATCGCAAGTGGGCTCTTTAAACTAACAAGATAAATACAGAGTCTGTTACTTATTGCTGTCGGTTATTTAGCCATTGACCGTTGCGAACGTTCTTCACACAGAATTTTAATACAAAAACAGCGCGAGTAAAGCGGGGGCGATCGAAACACTACTAAAATCATAACAAAAATTATTTATGGACATGGAGTGAGGACGGTGGGATGTCCATTGTTCACTAATTGAACACAGGAAGATGGGTGTTTGGTAATGGCGTAAAATAAATTCTCTGACGATGTTGCTTTGTGACAATAATAGCGAGAGTTACTAACAAATTTGTTTAATAACGCACACAATTTTTTAAGTGTCCTTAATCAAGACTATGTAAATTAATCTGACAATTTTAAATAAAAAGATAAATACTGTGCTATAGCAAGACCAATTGGAAATCTGTGCATCATAATAAAACATGAGTTCACTAGTTTTAATATTTGTTATTTAAAGCTAAATTTAGTAAGAAAGAACAAACCGCTTTTAATTTTTTTTAATTAATATTGTTGAAAGATTACAAAAAAATGTCCAAAAATGAAATAAAACCAACTTTCACATTTAAACATACTCGTACAGGCTGTCCCAGCGAGTTGAAAAAAATCTATTAGTGACCTTTAAATGGTGAAATTAAAAAAAAATTATATAGGACATTGATAGATACTAATCTAGTCCATCGCCTAAAATTATTTTCAACTATACAGCATGTCTCAAAAATAAGTTCCAAAACAAATTTTTGTTTTTCTAAATGAAACATATGTTTCTTAGCGTTTTTGGACGTAGATTTTGATGACAATGTTTTTAAGCTAAACTTTTATTGGTCGATTTTGCTTAGAATAAGATTTTGCTTAAAAATAAGACGGTTTTCCTGACGAAAAAACTTTTTAAAAATTTATTATACAAAAACGAAGACAGCTAGAACAATTTTTTTCTTCTGCAAAGAAGAAGGTACAAGCTATAAGGTTGTAACATTTTTTTAGTGTGTTGCATTTGCAAAGATAAAAAATGAAGACGTTTGTTAAAAGTTCAATAACTTAAATAAAGTAAATGGAACACCCTATTTATTGTTTTTCCATTTAAAAGATTATTAAATTGTCTTTCTAAAATTATTTACTTTTAGGTGTTTATAATCAATAAATAAAAAGATATTCAACTTTAAACATTAAAAAAAATAATTATTTTTGTTTCAGTAGCCAAAAAGTGCAGAGTTGCACAAGAGATGGAAGAAATATCACTTAATAATTACATTTGAGTTAAACTGAATCCATTATTCTTTATTTTTACAATAAAATAATTCGAATTTCAGTATTTATAACGACTTTTACAATCTCTGGAATTACTTTGGTTACTATGATGTTCAGATATTAATAGGCATTGTTGCTACAATTAATATTGAATGTTAAATATCTTTTCATTTATCAATTCTAGATATTAAAAGTTTATTTTTTTAGATACACAATTTATCAATCTATTAGATGCAAAAATGAAAAATAGGGTATTCCATTTAATTTTTTAAAGTTATTTAACAAAATTCTTAATTTATTAATCTTTACAAATGCAAAACAATAAAAAATTGGTACAGCTTTAAATTCTCTACTTTTATCTTTGCAGAAGTAGCTTAGTTTTTGTGTAATAATTTTTTTAAAAGTGCATGTCTTCGTCAAAAAAACGTTTTATTTCTAAAACTAAGCGAAATCGACTAATAAAAGTTTAGCGTAAAAATATTGTTTTAAAAGGTTACATCCATAAATGCCAAAAAACATACGGTGTTACATTTAAAAAAAACACAAGTTTGTATTGTAACTTATTTTTAAGACAGGCTGTATAGTTGAAATTAATTTTATGGTTTAAAATAATTTTATGATGGACTAGAGTAGTATCTATCAATGTCCTATATAATTTTTTTTTATTTTTCCATTTAAAGATCACTAATGGACTTTTTCAACTCGCTGGAATAGCCCTGTATGAAAAAATATTAAGGAATGAAAACATTAAAAAGGATTTAAATAAACGAATTTGACAGACAAAGTAGGTATTATTTACTTGTTTTCGAAAAAACGAAGAGAGCAAGTACAAAATAGATGACAAGACAGAAAAATATGATAAAAATAACAAAGAGAAACGAATAAAAAAGATAAACCATGAAATCGTGAAACACAATAAACATTGACAAAGAGAGACCAAAAAAATTGAAGATTGAATGATTTTGAAATAATTATCGTAATAATTAAAAAAGAAATATGCAGCTTTTTTATGGAGTTTTTTCCACTCGTACTTCGAATGATGGATAGTAGGAAAAATTATACCAGGTGAATAAAAAGTATGGAACCAAGCATTTTTTTCGTAAACTAAGCACTTTACAAAAAAAATAATTAGTGTAGTGTAAAGTCCAATTAAAATGTGACCATTTATCAAGAATAACATTTTTCGAAATTTCTTTTAGTTTTTGAGTTCTGGAAAAAAATTTTTTTTTTAAATGGCAACCCACTATGGTAATTTTTTTAATTAAAGATTATGATCTAAAAATGACCTCTAATTAAACAGAATTGTTTTCTAGTCAGTACTTTTTTTTTAATAAATTGTTAAAGTTGCGTTCCGAGCCCATCACGAAGATTTTCCGAACTTGAACGAAGGAGTCGTTTCATGACTTTGATCGTTGGAGAGTCCGGTTTTTGGTGCAGGTCCTTTGGGGTGGTTCCGGATGGATCAAAAAATATAAAAACAAATCATTTTCTTCTATTTTTAGTCGATTCGAAACCACCCCAAAGCACCTGCATAGAAATCATGAAACAACCACTTCAGTTAAGTTCGGAAAATCTTCGTGATGAGCTCGGAACGCAACTTTAACAATTAATTAAAAAAAGTACTGCCTAAAAAACAATTTTATTTAATTAGAGGTCATTTTTAGATCATAATCTTTAATTAAAAAAATTACCATGGTGGGTTGCCATTAATTTTTTTTTTCCAGAACTCGAAAACTAAAAGAAATTTCGAAAAATGTTATTCTTGATAAATGGTCACATTTTAATTGTACTTTACGCTACACTAATTATTTTTTCCGTAAAGTGCTTAGTTTACGAAAAAAACGATTGGTTCCATACTTTTTATTCACCTGGTATGTATTTTGTGATACCCTATACACATTTTCTTAATTTGTCGCGTTTAAAACCCTCTATTCCTTGTCAAGTTTTCTTTAAATTTTTTTCTAGATTTTCTTCTCCTTATTCTTTTAAATTCTTTTCTAGCTTTTGTCGAGATTCTTTTATTAATCCTTTTGTAAACTCTCTTTGTAAGTGGCTGCGTCACTCTAATTAACGAATTAACCTAAATCAATAAAGTTATTATTTGTATATGTATTCCAGCAGTTCTTTTGGGCTCACCCAGTGTATATAATAAAATTCCCATAGTTTGTTTAAAAATCGGGGCACGTTCCATGCCTATAAACCCCTGCCTTTCAGCGCCCATTTTTCGACGTTATCGCGATCGGATGTGGTATACAAAACAGCCCTTTTACGTCATGTAAACAGGTAGAAAGGTCAGGACCGTAATAAAGCAATTCTCATTTCCGAGCCAATTTCGTCCAACAATGGAGTGTTAGTTACTTTGAATTAACTCGCGACGATTTGTTAGATGTGACACGCTTGGTTTGGCTTAATTGGTAACATGTGTGTTATTCGTAAACAAACAGACAAATGTCGAGGAAGTGCCTCGTTTCGTCTTACCACTTCGTTTACGGGGGTTGAGTTGGGGAGAATCCCACACTTTGGTGGTCGTCTGTTTTGAATTTTATAGCGGTTTGAAATTCGCCAGCCGAAAGCGACATAAAGCACGAATTTACAACTTCCTCTCTTTGGAACAAAAAGTTCCGCGGAAAAGGCATAAAAAATGGTAATGACGTGACGGTTGTGGCTTTGTGACAGGGTAACGTGAAACTTTTGCTTCGTTACGTGAACCCAACGAGGGGAATTCTTATGCACGGGAGGTCGTCCCGGGTGATTTAGTGTCGTCATTCGTCGCAACCCCAACTTTCGGCTTTTTTCACTAATTTGAAGATACAAACAATCTCCGGTTAATATCCAGAAGCTCGTATTTAGACTAAATGAAAATAAACAGTGGGGTGTGTAGTCGTTGAACCCTCAAGAGAGCTACCGGAGTTACACAACTAATGATTATTTTTAGGTGGGAGCTAATTTATGGAAAGCAGGATCAAAATGCAAATGGATTCGGATTATGATGGGTTGTGGCTCATTTTGTAATTCGACGAATAAATTGTTTCTGGGTTGGTTTATCTCTGGATTTCTTAATCTTTCGAAAGATGCTTGTTTCAAATTAAATTTAAAGATTAAGGTGTCAACATCCACATTCACTCTTCATTCCTCATTCAGAATTAATAGCAGGATTTCATCTACACATTTTTATGACTACTTTTTTCCCATTCCTTGCTTTGTCTTTTACAGTGTTTTATAAAAACATAAAAAAGATAAATGCCAAGTAAAATAAGATACCAGGAACATGAGAAAAAAGAAAAAAAAATTATCTATAAGGTTTAGCACTTTGACCCTATTTATTTCTGTTGGAAAATGGTTTTATAAAGAACGAGTTCCTACAAATGACTCATGAAACAAGTTTTTTATGCTATTTTTTCTATTTTGCGCGTTTTACGTCCTTTTTTCAGACGTAAATTGTACTAGTCTATTTCAGCACCCGAATGGGTATTGACATGGCTCATTAAAGCATCGTTTTTTTTTTAATAAGCTTTCTTTCAGACGCAAAATAGAAAAATTATTTTCCATGTTCTTTTGCTGGAGACTGTCAGAAGGGGAAACAAAGAAGCTGTATCCTGAATTGTAACTAAGTTTAACGTTATTTGTAGCTTTTATTGACAAAATTTTTGTACCTTAACTGAATAATTATGAAAAAACTTACCTATACAAGATCATCGGTAACAATAAATATAAAAAAAGTCAAATGTCAAAAATGATAGCATTTTTTAAACATTTTTTTAATGTTCCTGGTATCTTATCTTACTTGGTTGTTTTTCTTTATTTTGTATTTTTATAAAAC